TATAAACATCCAAGCTCTCCACCTTCTTACACAAACGCATCCCAACCGGCTGTTCATCAGCTACATCATTAATGGCATCCAACAGGGTTTCAGGTTTAATTTTAAAGGCCAATGAAACCAGTTAATTTAGGACAACCTACAGTCAATAAACCTGGAACCCAAAGCTTTCACAACATATATTTCGGAAGAACTCACCAACAAACGCATCTGCGGCCTATTTCACATAGACAACCCTCCTTGCAACCTATTCCAGATCAACTCTTGCGGCCTTGTTGAGAAGAAAGACACCAACCCCAAGAAATACCGGGTTATTTCCCACCTGTCTTCTCCCCCAGAAAACAGCATAAACGACAGAATTGACAAACTCGAGTTCTCCACGAAGTATGAAAATGTAAACCACGCCATATGTTGGATCAACCACTTCGGCAATGGGTGCTCATTGTCAAAAATCGATATCAAAGACACTTACAGAATCCTTTCTGTCCACCCTGTTGATCAAATTTTTCAAGGCTTTTGCCACGGCACCAACCTATACTTCGATAAGGTACTCGCCTTCGGCAACCGTGCTTCTGGCGGTATTTTTTATCGCTTCGCTGACACCATCACTTAGATTGCCTCCCAACAAGACATTCCAGCTATAATCCATTACGTTGACGATTTTCTTATCATCTCCCCTACCGATGGTAATAGAGAGCTTCAACAATTTTTGAACATCCTCAGCATCCTCAACGTACCTTACAAGCTTGAAAAACTAGAAGGCCCATGCACAAATGTAACTTTCTTAGGCATCGAGCTAAATACACAAACCATGAAAGCATCAATTCTGCTCCCAAAGCGCGAAAAATTAATTAGCTTAGTCTGCCAGTAGTCAAACAAGAAATGGTGCTTTCGCAAGGAGCTTCAATCAATCGTAGGCTCCCTAGTATGGGTATGCCAAATTATACCACAAGGAAGACCATTCATTCAACGCCTCATTAAAGCCCAAGAAATAGCCAACAACCCAAAGTTCCACATTCGTATTACCAAACCCATAGCCTGCGATTTTCAATGGTGATAACCACTTTACAGAGCTGGTCCGGTATACACCTACTACAAGACCAAAAATGGAACCAGCCTACCACCCTCAACCTCTTCACGGACGCATCCAACATAGGCGGAGGGCAGTATACCGCAACTACTTCACCGCTTTTGTATAGGCCAACAATATCGACCTCAACAAAACCAACATCCAAACACGTGAACTCCTAACCACACTCATTGCCATATGCACCTTCGCCCCAATGTGGAAAAGAAACAAGCTTATAATTTGGACCAACAACCTTTCAAACGTGGAAGTATATTATGCCGGATACTGCAAAAATCCCAACATCAACGAACTGATCGCTCTAATATACAATTTACAAGTTCAAGGAAACTTCACCATTAAACTTGAACACATACCCAGCATACACAACCATGACGCAGACTTACTCTCAAGAAATAGACACCGAGAGTTCATTAGAAACAACCCACATGCCCGTTACCTCCAACCCAACATCCTGGACACATACAAAATACTAACCTCAATAATTACATCTTTAAAACAATAGGGCGTAGCAACATGCACCCACCCCATCACTGCCACCCAACCCCATCAAAACCAACTCTTTTGGGACTATACCCACCCTCGACACCCAAGCTGCACAGCTACTCAACATACCAACCCCTCCAGAAAAGCCTACGAGGCCATAATTAAGTGATATGAAAATCTCACTATCTCTAACCGATGAACCAACAGCGACAGATCAGTATGGCCCATATCCACACAATCTCTCATCAAGTATATTGCCTTTCTTCACACAAGTGTCATGCCCTCCACTATCACCACATACCTGTCCGCCCTGAATTATCACCACAAAAGAAACTACTACGATTGGACCTAGATCCGTCATGACCCCCTCATTACACAGCTACTCAAGACTATCAAAGAAACACACTTCCACCAACTAGTAAATCAGAAAACTCACATTACCCGAAATTATTTCATACAAATAAAACAGCAACTTAATATGGCCAACAAGACTGACCTCCTATTTTGGGCAATAGCCCTTTTAATATTCTACAGCTTGGCAAGGCTAGGAGAGTTATTACCAAACAACCAATTGGACGCCAACAAAGTCCCTACTCTGAAAGCATTAAAATTTGAGAAAACCAATAACAGCACCTTCGCAACTATCCAACTACCCCGGACAAAAAGCCACAAATCCGCTGTTTGCCCCTCCTTAATTATACACTCTACCAATGACGCACTATGTCCCGTATGTGCTATAAAAGTATATGCCAGCATTCGCACTCTACCAACTTATGCCCCCAACAGTAACATGCTCTTCGTAAAGGAGAACAACTCCTGGGCCACTAAATGCTGGTTTATAACCAAACTCAAACAGCTACTTCCTAACGAGAATGTGGCGGGACACAGCTTCCGGGCAGGCGGAACCACCGAGCTTGTCACACACGGTGTCCAACTAATCTTAATCCAAAAAATCAGCAGATAGAATTCTGAATCGTTCACTCTTGGAATAGGCAGTCCAATCGGTGTTATTTCACATGCCCAGAAACACAAAAAAAAAAAAAAAAAAAGAAGAGAGAAACAAGAATAACGATAGCAGCAATACATTGACACATACAAACAAAAAGAAAAAAGAAGAAAAAAAAAAAACACACAACTCCAAAACTAAGATACATAAAAAAAAAAAAAAAAAGGGGGTAAACAGCAAAACAACAATGCCGAATGAGCAAGACAAGTATCCCCGCATGGTACCAACATCAACCAACTGACTCAGCCAACTGCCTCCCGCAGCAATGAGCTTCGAAAGTCAAAGAACAATCAGGTGGACAATGAGCGTCAAGAGTCAAAAAAAAAAAAAAAAAAGAGAGAGAAACCTCGGTGCAAAATGGCCGAATCAAAACATCACCCTTGAACAGCCACCTGATTCTGCTATTTTACAGCCAGCCTGCTTCAGCAGGCGGAAAACTACCAGCTGATAATCACGTTGACATTGCTCAACTATTTTCTACCTGGTCTGTTACAGTGACTCTCAGCCCTACTCTTTCGAGAAATCACTGTTTCAGCACCTATAAATGTATATACTGTATTACCTCCATACTCTTATACTGCTTACCTAATAAATAAATCTCTAGCTTCTTAAGTAGCTGGCATACAGCCATAAAATAACTAGTGCAGGCCAATGTTTTTCGTACTAGTTCACTAGAGTCAACTGATCAAAAAATAAGGCCAGGCACAGTTACACACTACAGCACCGACTCCAATTAGTACACATGAACCAGCTCTGTTAAGCACATAACGATCAGAGCTATTTCAAGCATCCAAGCATGAAAAACACATGCATGCCCGGTATCACTGATGATCGGCAACCACAAAATCGTGCGTACAACAAATCATACGAAGGTCCAGCATCACTAACGATTGGCAGCCACAGGACTGTGCATAAAGCAAATGTACAACAAGCCACCAATTCCTTTTCATATAAATACACGAAACATCGGCTATGATAACTCTCACCCGAAATTCCAGCGAGAAATTAATTTTTTGCCTCACCCAGCCTGCTTCCGACAGTGCGAGGACAGCCACCTGATTCCGCCATTTTACAGCCGGCCTGCTTTGGCAGGCGGGAAACCACCGGCTAATAATCACGTTGACATTGCTCAACTATTTTTTATCTGGTCTGTTACAGTGACTCTCAGCCCTACTCTTTCAGGAAATCACTGTTTCAGCACCTATAAATGTATATACTGTATTACCTTCATACTCTTATACTGCTTACCTAATAAATAAATCTTCAGCTTCTTAAGTAGCTGGCATACAGCTATAAAATAACTAGTGCAGACCAATATTTTTCGTGAATCTAAATCATTATATAGAAATTACTAATTATATATAATGTTTTACTAATTATTTATATATGAGAATTTTTCATGCCCAAAGTTATACAAAATGATGTCAAAAATCAGAGAAAATTACATTATTTTAATCTTAACTCTAACGCTTGATTTATTAGATTTATTACTTAAGACTTAATAAAATTCTACTTACATAGATCTCATAAAGTCGTTACTTGATTAGAAAACACTTTACTAATTCCTATTGAAAAGCTATTGTGTGGCACAAGAAGGTAAAATCACCAAAAAATATCTCAAATCTATTCTTATTATGTTTAAAATTAACAAAAATTATACATATACAGGTATATTTTAATAGATTAATTTATCAACACGATTATGAGGTTGAATAATTTCAAAACAATCAAAAGGATAGAAAAAAAGGAAATTGAATGATATGTAAAATCTGATGTGGATGGCGATTAGAACGAATAAGTATTAAGATTAGATTTCACGATCTTACACGACATTTATTTATTTTCAATATATAATATGTATACATATTAATTTTAAATACATATTTTTCAGAGTAAAAAGAAAGAAAAGGCGAAATATTTTAGTTATGTGTGAATTCATCAAATTCTTCAAGAACTTTTTCTGGAATTTGACAATGAGAATGATATTTCTTTACTGCAAATTCAGCAGCCTTTTCAGAAAGTCCAAGTTCATAGGCACTCATAAAGCGTTGAGAACGGCGAGCAAAATGGCGAATCTTTATTAAATTAACAGAATCCAGTGCTTCTGGAACTGTTTTTTTTGAGGCCTTTAAAGGTGTAATCACAATTAAGTCTTGTGTAACGTTTTATCTCAGCCCAAACAGACTCAATGAAATTAAGTTCACAATAGAACTTAGGTTAAAAGATGCACATGTAGTCGGCAGCTTTAATTGCCTAAATTATTTATATGCATGTAAGTAATGGTTTTAAATAATTTTCTTTTCTTTTTTTTTTTTTTAAAAAAAAAACTTATTTACCTCTTGTATGCGTGATGTTTGAGTTGCAAAATCGGTTTAAGCTAAAAGAATGTGCGAAGCGCAACAGTTTAGGTTGTTTAGATCAGGCCTATTTTTTTTTACAATCATTGCACTTTTTTAAAAAGCCTTGTATCCATAAATCTTGTTCTTGAAGAACCTGCCTAATTCTCTTAGGCCTTTTTACACCTTCACTATCTATATAGTTCATTTCATGCTCGGAACTATCAGGCATGCTACCATTACGAAGAGGTTTTTTATCTTTGCCTTTTCTATTTTTACCACCATCACCCATATTTATTTCTGAGACCAAAAGGGCATCTTCAGCAAATGTACCGTGATTGCTACTATTATTAAACATAAATAGAGCAATCTTGCTGGGGTGTGTTCATTCAAATATCGGGATGTTGCAGTTAACTACCTGATCAAATAAATCATCACCTGTCCACCAACCATCACGATTTACACCCGGATAAATAGCAACACATGCTTGGGTATATTTAAGACGCATGTGATCAGGAAGTAAATTATTTATATAATATTCGTATTCTGAAGGTTTAAGACGCCCAATAGATTTACAGAAAAAATCGCTAATGTGAATACTTTGACCCTGTGATTAAAAATAGGGTTAAAAATTAGTTGATTTATAATAATTTGGTTAGTAAATAAAAATTCTAGTCGACTGATTAGGCCACGCAAAGTTGATTTTTCATTTTGCATTACATGGATTTCAAAATTTAGGTCGGACAGTCGGATTTTTTTTTTTTTTTAACCTGTTATAGATTAATAGTCTTATGTTGCATTTGAGGCCACACAAAGTTAATTTTTTGCTCTGTATAACATGAAATCAGAAATTTTGGTGTTAGCAATCAGATTTTTCTATAGGTTCTATTAGACAATTCCAGAAAACCAATGTCTCAACTCGATAAAAGTTGATCCTGACATTGAAGATTGTTTCAAGTTTGGAATTGGAATTTTTAATTTTATTGTTTCTATTGTAGGTTTTCTTTTCGATCATTATCAACGCCGACAGGAAAATTCACCAAAAGGATGATTTAAAATCTTGCAGATATCTTTAAGTTTGAATGGAAAATTAAATTAAAGATACTTCATGATATTATATCCAATCATCCAATCTTAATCGTATTCATGATGAAAGATATTTACATCGAGATTTATATCCAGAAATATCTTGTTAAAAGATGATTACAAAGCATATATTACTGATTTAGGTTTATCAAAACCACTTGATGAGAAAGAACACAAAGAACATATTTATGGTGTCTTGCCTTACATCGCTCCTGAACTTTTTCAAAGAGAAGCGTACACTCAAGAAATAGATATTTATTCATTTGGAATTATCATGGTAGAAATGACAACTGAACTGAGACCTTTTAGTAGTTATAAATTTGATCAAAACCACCTATTGTGTTCACTGGAATACAAGTAAGTTTATAACAAGATATTTACCACAATTAATGATGAAACACATAATAATCTCAATACAAACTAATTCAACCTTAATACGTATTAATAACTGTGTACTATATTAGAAATTCTGTAGTCTCCATAGGATGATACTGGAATAATTTATTGAAAAAAATTAAATACATAGTGGAGCAATTGGAAATTAAAAAACATCAGAAAAAAAAAATTTTTGAAAAAATAGGACGGCAGGTATTGCAAAACGAAAATTTAACTTTGCGTGGCCTTAGTTAACTAAAGAATGTAAACTAATTCTGATTCTTACTAGTGATTTTTTCTGTAGGTTATATTCATTCCATGGGCTCCAATACTTTTTCACACATTATTTGAATAAAGAGTGGTTTCGTCTTGGGTAACAGGAACTATTTTGAGATAAAGTTCTGGCGGGATACAGTTTAATCCTACATCTTCATATGAGGCCATTTGTTTTCGTAATTCAGCTATCTTTTGGAGAAAACGATTTCTGAATTCCACCACATCTTCATGTTCGTGACTGTCAAAATAGATTTTTTTTGAATGGGTTTGGTATTTTCATCCAAGTAATTTTAGCCATCTGCACCAGTTAATCTACTAATGGTTGTTTTATATATGATTTCAAAAGTAGGCATAATACTACTGACATGGCTTATAAATTCTGGAATGGCCAATTTAAATTTATTTTCCTCCAAATACTAATTTATTTGAAGCCGAAAACTTTTATTATGTATTAAAGTTTTCGTTTTTATATGTTGGCCACGTTTCGACTTTACTAATTCTTTGCTATTCTTCTATTGATTTGCCCAGGCACGAATACACTGCGTATGCCATGGGCCTTTACCTAAACTCTTAGCCAGAAGGCTATTCGCCCCCATCTTTGTATGCCCTTTCTGAACCAGATTAAGATATTGCCTTGTTGTATTAAGGCGTAGATCGACCAATCCCGTTCTCAATTGTGTGTTTAGTGATGATAATATAAAATTATCATTACTAGCACTACTATCAAGGGATGAACTATCAACTGTAGGCCGATTTTTGTTAATAGAATCAAGTATTATAGGTTCATTATTTTTGTGAGAAGAAGTATTGGCCGATTCAACGTGTTGTGAGAAAGATTTATTTTTCCAATATTCGGTGATAGCTTTTCAGAACTGTGTTTTGTGTTTACTTTGTTTTGGCATTTTCAGAGATATGTATCGAAAAAGTTAAATAAAAAATATAATCTGATCAAGTCTTCTTATATATGTATTTATAATTAATACGTATATTGATATTGTCTAGGGAATCAATCAATCTTGATTGATATTGAATATACGTACATATGTCAGTTACATATTTGAACGAAACCTACCCAAAGCCAGTTTCAGGTGCATACCGTATCTTTGTATAATAACGCTCACCTGCATATCATTTCAAAGCCATGCATGTTATTTTGAATTATACGTACGATTTTCAAAATAATGCTCATTGGCATTATTATGCGAAAATACGGTATACATACTACGTATTGAGGCAGGATGAGGTCTTGAAGAAAACATAAATGGACATTGTCCATTATGCTAGTGGATTGGCCATCTCTGTACACCAACTATGACAAGAGTCATAGTCCAGCACTGGCTTCAATAGAGTCCGCAAATGGGGCCAATAGAGCTCTGAATGGAACCAATGGATGCCATTCATTAGCTCCATTTGCGGGCTCCATTAAAGCAATGAAAAATTTAATTATGCAGAAAGTTTTATATACGAGACCCGGGTCTGTTCATTCCACCAATTTTTAAACCCTTTAGTAGACCGGGTCTACGTAGTACTCACCTAGAGGTTATACATAGAGATGGGTTTCATGCGCATTTTATCTCATCTAAATTTTATACGTATATGTAGGATAATTAAATTATATATAATTTAGGCCAGAGAGCGTATTTTTGGGCAGAATTAAAGAATATGGATGCAAAATTCTCGAAAAATTCCAAAAAGAAAATGAATGAGAATAAAAGAAGAGCAAGATTTGGGTAAAAATTTAAGCACATATCCGATATTCTCTGAAGGGAAAATATAAATTCCAAAAATTATACGTATTATGTGCATTTTATGTATAATTCTTGAATTATGATCTCCAACACAGTTGGCCAATGGCTTTCAGAAACTTAAATTGTTAATAACTCTTGGTTTTTTCTTTTTTAATATAATAGGAACGTTATTGAAGCACTAGTCAAAATCAAGTCACGGTATAATCGGTCTGTTTGCAATCAAGCTTGTTATTTCTTATCTCACTAATTTTATTTTTCTAATATAGATAGAACTAATTCGTTTATTAGTTGTATTTGTGTCTTTATTCCTTTCGATAATTTAATTGTGCTTTGGGCAACTTTAATGGTAAATGAGTTGGAGCTGGGTTTGGAATAGAATTGAAAGACTAGGCAGATATTGTTATGAATATAAAACTGGAGTTGAAAAGGATGAAAACAAAGCATTCTCATATTATCAAAATGAATAATTATAATAGAATATATCAAGTTGCCTATTGTTATTATTTAGGAATTAGTGTCAAAATCGATAATCATAAAGTATTTACGTATTATCTGAAATCTGCTGAAGCTAGTAACGCTGTGATATAATCGTCTAATTTGCCAATTATTCGAATTGAGATTTACCAGATAAGTATTAATCTTTTTTTTTTTCTTTTTTTTTGATTCTTCTTTCATGCAAGGCAAGATTATGAAAAGCGATAGTAGATAAGCTAAGTTGTGAGCGCATAAGAATTGAATGTGAAAGAATTTTGATTATTCCAGGCAATACTATAAAAAACAATAGTCGGGTGAACTGGACTAGGCTTTAAGGTGAACTATAGTGCTATCAGGTAATTAAATGTTAGCACTAATTTGATTATTTGCACTGTATTTTTGTTTTAATAATTTATTTATGCTTTTGGCAACTTTAATAGTAGATGAGTTGGAGCCGAACTATAGAAGAATTGAAAGACTAGGCGGATATTGTTACAAATATGGAGCTGAAGTTGAAAGGATAAAAACAAAGCATTCTCACATTAGCAAAAAATGAATAATTCTAATATAATATATCAAGTTATCCATTGTTATTATTTAGGAATTGATGTCGAAATCGATAAGCATAAAGTATTTATATATTATCTGAAATCTGCTAAAGCTGGTAATATTGTGATAGAATTGCCTAATTTGCCAATTATCCAAATTAGGATTTACCAGATAAGTATCAAATATTTTTTTTTTTGATTCTTATTTCATTCAAGACAAGATTATGAAGAGCAATGGTAGATGACTAAGTTACAAATGGGTAAGAATTAAACATGAAGGTCATGTAGAATTGATAAGAAACCTGGTTATTCTGTGAAAGACAATGGTGGACGAACTAGACTAGGTTTTAAGGTAAACTATGGCGCTATCAGGTAATTAAGGGTCAGCACTAATTCATTTGATTAGTTGTATTTTGTCTTTATATTTCTTTTAATAATTTATTTGTACTTTTGGCAACTTTAATGATAGCTAGGTTCGGAATAGAATTAAAGACTAGGTATATTGTTACAAATATGGAACTGGAGTTGAAAAGGGTGAAAACAAAGCATTCTCACATTATCAAAATGAATAATTATAATATAATATATCAAGTTGCCTATTATTATTTAGGAATTGGTGTCGAAATCGATAAGCATAATGCATTTAAATATTAGCTAAAATTTGCTAAGGCTGGTAATGTTGTGATGGAATCACCTAATTTGCCAATTATCCAAATTGAAACTTACCAGATAAGTATCAAACTTGTTTTTTTTGATTCTTATTTCATCCAAGACAAGATTATGAGGAGCGATGGTAAATAAGCTGACTAAGTTGCGAACAGGTTAAAGTTGAACGTGAAGGTAATATTGATATTGGTTATTCTGGGCGATTCTATAAAAGACAATGATCGGGTGAACTATGGGCTATTAGGTAGTTAAGGGTTAGCACCAATTCATTTAATTAGTTGTGGGAACTTAGTGATTGGACCCGTTAAACAAAATACCACCCGGGTGAAAATATATTTCTAAATATATAATAGTTATATCCTTGGTATATAGTTTGTTTTAAAAGTCTAGCATTAAAAATAAAATAGTAATTTTTTTAGATTGGGTAGAATTTTACTATGAATTCATTGTTTATTATGCTTGATATATAAAAAAATATAGAAGTATTTCTTGAATGTTTTTTATCAATAGTAAATTTTATCAATGATAAAGGTTTGAAAAAAAAGGTGGGTTTTGTCTCACTGATTTTTTTATTCAATTTTGACTAATAAAAAATTTACTTTCGATCCATTAAGTGAGGTGCTTGAGAATACCTTTAGTCTGGGTACATATAAAGAACATTGATTAATCGAGACTGGATAATTATTTTGTATATATTCTAGAAACTACTATGTATTAGTATCATTTTATTCTGGAATTTCTGAAATGTATGTTGTGTTGTGTACCATAATCATCAACATTATTTCCTTAATTAATGATTTGCTTAGTGGCACAACATTTAATACATTTTTGATGTGATTAGATGATATGCACTGTATATCTGATATTATATTATCATATATGCAAGTTTATGTGATAAATAATACATCTGTTATTTAAGTGTCTCTAATTAGTTTAACAGGGCAAGTTATATACTGCATATAGTAAACAATAATAATTTCAAATAACTTCTACGTAAAAGTTATTATAAGTTGTTATCTAAATTT